GAGAGAGAGAGAGAGAGAGAGAGAGAGAGAGAGAGAGAGAGAGAGAGAGATCACTCGTCCCTGACCACCCGCGCAGCCACGATTTGACATCTTGTGTAGAGAGTTTTTAAGCGGTCGTTGATGTGAAGTCCTTTCCTGCAATGCTGACATTCGTTATTCCCTCCATGATGGCCTCCGTTCGTTACGACCTGTACCATTATCTCTTTGATGTACGATATGAGATGGGACATACAGTCCGCAACCAGCCTCGCCATTTGTCGAGAATTCGCTTTTGCAATGAACTTTTGAAATGTGTCCGTCGTCATAGGCAGCGCAACAGATTCTGCATCAGCACAAGGTGCTTTGCTAGCGGCGACACATGGGAAGTTATGACGAACGTGGTGACAATTCAGTACGGCAACATCGGTGCACGCCAGCAGGGTATGTGGCGCAGGCGCGCAGTACCCGACAGTGGTCCCAATTCCTCTGGAGGTTTGCATTGTTGTGTCGAGTTCTTCACCTGCGTTCGTCCTTTCACCTTCTGCACTTCCCATGACAACTCCGTTCACATAAGTCACCGTCATTTCTCCAGCCAACAACCTACCTCGTGTGTGTTGCAGGACATCCATGACGTTCGAGCAACTGATCAACAGAGACGTCATATTGCGAGGAAGGTCATCCTTAGCAGTCGTGACACCCTCATCACAGAGACCGTACTCGTCTACGGTTTCCTTACAGTGGCGAATACAGCCTGCTGCGAAGGCCAAGAGGTCGACGACACTGCGTGATGAAGCAGTTAGCGAACCCGTATTATATTCTTGGCTATCATACGATGTCCACCCCTCCTTCAGCACACACTTCTCAGGGCTGGCACAAGATGCGACATCAAGTCCTTGTGATTCCCTGTGAGTTCTCTTTGTGACATAAGCGGCGAACCGATTCAAGACCGTGGCCCGCCTGCGCCTTTCACCATCCAACCATGTCTGGAACTCGTCAAACGTGGTGGTCTTCGTTTCAGTTATTGCCTTCAGTCTGGCAGTCATGTCCTCCCTAAGATGGGTTACGTCTAAACACTTTGGATCGGATAGTAACAACCAGTACACGGTGAACATCCTGTATTCCGCAGTTTCTGTCATTTCGTCGAGCAGTGACTTAATACGGCCTATTTCGTCTGACATCTGTCTCACCAATTGTTTCTGTTTATGTACCTCGTATGTCATCCTGTCTATATGTTCTCGCTGCTTCTCTACTATCTGACCCCAGTTCCGGTCCATCTCAGTCGTCTTCTCTTCTTTGACTCCCAGTAGTAGAAAGTGATCCGCCGTTGCATCAGACTCTTCGCCTGACTTTCTCTTCTGTCCAGTTTTGACCAATCTTGACATCTGGAAATATATGTATATACAGAGAAATACATAGAGAGAGAGAGAGGGGCAAGACAGAGCCTCACTACTTCCATAGTTTTTGTCAGCGGTCGCCTACCAAAGATTGGCTATATGTACGTGGCAACAAATATTGTTATTTATTACTGTACATCTGCGTTTCCCCCGTACATGACTCGATATAGCAATGGACAACACAACTTAACAAATACAAAGCAGACCATTCTTTCCAAACGCATCCGTCGGAATGAGGGAGTAAGAGAGATAGAGACGCA